AATGTAAAAAGTATAGAAATTATATTTAATAATTATATATACATATATTAAAATAAGAATAGAAACTTGATATCCAAAGTATATAAAATTTTCATAGAATATTGATCATATTTCACAAAAAAATAAATTGATGAAATTCAATAAATACATTAGGAAACAAAATAAATTAATAAATTAATAATATAAGTTAAAATAAATATATTGAAAGAAAAATGTACATGTAAAAATAAATACAAAAATATAAAATAAAAAAATACATTTATTGAGCGTTGAACATATTTAAAAAAATGAAACTATATCTAAGCTAACTCAGCTAAGTATATAAGAAAAGAATAGAAATAAATGCAAAAGAGTAAAAAAAATAATTATATATATTTAATAATTATCAATAATAAGAATATAAACTCTATATACTTTGAGTATATACATTTTCCTTGAGTGTTGATCATATTCAAAAAAATGAAATTATTACAGAAAATGAAATAAAATTAAGATATTTATAAGGAAAGAAAATAAAAAAATACAAATACATTAATAAATAAGAAAAATACATGTAAAAATAAATACAAAAAAGAAAATAACTAAAAAATAATTATGTATATATATATATATATACTTTTTTATAATAAGAATAAAAACTTTATATACTTTCAATAGAGAAAATTTTTGGTTTTTGGTTGAAGTTGGTTGATCATTTTTACAAAAAATGGCATTTTTAATGAAAATGAAATGAATGTCAGATAGATAAATTAGAAAAGAAAATAAAGAAATTAAAAAAGTAAAGAAATTAATAGATAAATAAATAAATAGAAAGGAAGAAAAAATGCTAATTATATAAATATATTTTTATTAATATTATTTACAAATCCAAATTTAATCATTCATTTATTTTCCTTCGGCTTAGTCAATTATTTATCAGGGGTCGCCACAGCAGAATGAACCTATTCCAGCATATGTTTTACGCAGCAGATGCCCTTCCAACTCCAACCCAGTATTGGAAAACACCCGTACACTCTAGCATTCACACACACGCACTCATACACTACGGCCAACTTTGTTTTACCCAATTCCCCAATAGCACATGTCTTTAGTGGGGGAAACTGGAGCACCCGAAGGAAACCCACGACAACACAGGGAGAACTCCACACAGAAATCGAACCAGCAACCTTCCTGCTGTGAGGCGACAGATTTTTAATCAATAACAAAGTACAATTTCACAACACAAAACATTAATACCTTTTTTAATGTGAGTAAATACACAAGAATGTATCGTAAACACAAGATATTTTAGACCAGAATTAATAATGCAACAGCAACGACTTCCCTCCAGATGTCAGCAAACATGCAAAAGAAATGGTGATCAGAAAAGTCCATGACCTCTTTTAACCCCTGACATACAGCAGCTCCTGAAATGCAAAGTGGCTTTTTTTTAACAGGCCAAGTCACATTCACTTTCTATGGCTTTGCGGTAATGATGAGGATGTCATATTATACCATAATAACCCTTTGTATGTGATGAGTCACAAACAATGTCAATGGCCCTCGCTGACTGAAACTTAATCTATAGGAGGTGTAAAAGGGAAAATATAAAGCACAGTTGAAGTCAGAATCATTCGCCCTCCTGTATTAATTTTCTTTCAAAAATTTCCCAAATGATGTTTAACAGAGCAAGGGATTTTTCACAGTATTTCCTCTAATATTTTTTCTTCTGGGGAAAGTCTGATTTGTTTTATTTCGGCTAGAATAAAAGAAGATTTTATTTGTTTGTAAATCCTTTTATGGTCAATATTATTAGCCACCTTAAACAATGTTTTTAAGCAAGAAGGTTGCTGGTTCGAGTCCCGGCTGGGTCAGTTGGCGTTTCCAAGTTTGCATGTTCTCCCCATGTTGGCGTGGGTTTCCTCCGGGTGCTCCGGTTTCCCAAACAGTCCAAACACATGCGCTATAAGTGAATTGAACAAACAAATTTGGCCATAGTGTATGTGTGTGAATGAGTGTTTCCCAGTGATGGGTTGCAGCTGGTAGAGCATCTGCTGTATAAAGCGTATGCTGGATAAGTTGGCAACCCCTTATGAATAAAAGAACTAAGCCGAAGGAAAACAGTGCTCTGGGAAAGCATGTAAACTAAAATCAACATAGGTCCTAGGACTGAACTTTGGGAACACCAAATTTGATTTGAACGACATGAGGGAAAGATATTAATGAGGACGTTTTTATTTTTGGGTGAACTAACCCTTTGACGAGTGTCTCAGACTTTGGTCAGGTTCATTATTAGTGGCCTCTAGTCTTGGGTCATTCATTCATTCATTTTCTTTTCGGCTTAGTCCCTTTATTAATCCGGGGTCGGCACAGCGGAATGAACCGCCAACTTATCCAGCACATGTTTTACGCAGTAGAAGCCGTTCCAGTTGCATCCCATCTCTGGGAAACATCCACACACACTCATTTACACACACACACACACACTACAGACAATTTAGCCTACCCAATTCACCTGTACCGCATGTCTTTAAACTGTGGGGGAAACCAGAGGACCTGGAGGAAACCCACACGAACGCGGGGAAAACATGCAAACTCCACTCAGAAACGCCAACTGACCCAGCCGAGGTTCGCACCAGTGACCTTCTAGCTGTGAGGCGACAGCACTACCTACTGTGCCACCGTATCGTCTCATTTAAAGAAAATGTGTTTTATTACATGGATATTGAGATATGGGCAATGTGCAAGAGAAGCGTTTCTTTGCAAAGTGCCATTGCCAACTATACATAATACGCCATGTTAGATGTGTAAATAGGGATAACTTGGGATAATTTTGGGATAATTTCTGTAGGCCAGTCACAATAATCCATTTATGGAGTCGCACAACACATGGACAAGACCCAAGATCATTTTTTCTGATGCAACATATATCGCCCATACATAGAAACCAATTCTAGCAACATTTTAGCCGATTGTGCAACATCTCTATCTCTACTGGAGGTGTCAGTTTGACTATTTAATTCACCATTTGAGGAGTCGGTTTGAGGATTTAATTCACCATTGGAGGAGTCGGTTTGAGGATTTAATTCACCATTGGAGGAGTCGGTTTGAGGATTTAATTCACCATTGGAGGAGTCGGTTTGAGGATTTGATTTACTATTTGCTGAGTCGGTTTAAGAATTTGATTCATACCTTGCAGAGTCAGTTTAATGATTTGATTCATAATTTGCCCAGTCGATTTGAGGATTTGATTTGTAATTTGCGGAGTCGGTTTAAGGATTTGATTCACCATTTTCTGAGTCGGTTTGAGGATTTGATTCACCATATGCTGAGTCGGTTTAGGGATATGATTCATAATTTGCTCAGTCGCTTTGAGAATTTGATTCACCATTTGCTGAATCGGTTTAAGGATTTGCTTCATAATTTGCGGAGTCGGTTTAAGGATTTGATTCACCATTTGCTGAGTCGGTATGAGGATTTGCTTCATAATTTGCGGAGTCGGTTTAAGGATTTGATTCACCATTTGCTGAGTCGGTATGAGGATTTGCTTCATAATTTGCGGAGTCGGTTTAAGGATTTGATTCACCATTTGCTGAGTCGGTATGAGGATTTGCTTCATAATTTGCGGAGTCTGTTTAAGGATTTGATTCACCATTTGCTGAGTCGGTATGAGGATTTGATTCACTATTTGCCCAGTCGGTTTGAGGATTTAATTCACCATTTGCTGAATCGATTTTAGGACTTGATTCACCATTTGCCGAGTCGGTTTAAGGATTTGAATCATAATTTGCCCAGTCGGTTTGAGGAGTTAATTCACCATTTGCTGAGTTTGGCTTGCGGATTTATTCATAATTTCCCCAGTTAGTTTGAGGATATGATTCACCATTTGATGAGTTGGTTTGAGGATTTGATTCATAATTTGTTAAGAAAATTAACAACATAAGTTGTTAGGAAAAAACTTCCATAGGTCAGTGTCAGTATGGTTCAAAATACTATAGTATTTACTAATAATTATGAATGAACCGCAAACTTATCCAGCATATGCTTTACACAGTGGATGCCCTTCCAGCTGCAACCCATCACTGGGAAACAGTGTACTTGCATTGTGATCATATTATATTTTCATTCTGGCATTATATAATTAGATGCATAAAATGGTCTTAAAATGACAATAATATCGTTTATCGTGGTATATTTTTACAACAAAAAATAGATATCATGACAAGTCATCTGTGTGTGAATGTTTAGTATGTTAGTGTGTTGTAAACAAACCTTCATATTAGAAATGAAAACAGATAACGAGCTGTCCAATCAGCTCCAAATAGTCCAAATAGCTTCAAGATATATGGAAAACAATAACAATGTACCTAGAAAAGTACTGTTGGCTGACAAAGCACTGTCTTAAATGATATAATGCTTAAATTAACCTCTTATGTTATGAATTCTGAGTGGGTAGACATTAGTAAAACAAAAATCCACTGTTCGAGGTTTAGGGCGTTTTGAATTTTGCTGTGAGGAAACTTGTCAGGCAGAAAAGATAAACGGATGTCAGACACGGGTCTACGGCGGGAAAACTGCCGCCATCAAAGGGCTTTTAAATAAACTGGAACATACGTGTGGACACCTACTGTTGTCAAGCCAACGCGTTTTCATACAACAGTTTATAATAGAACATGTACCTATATTTTTGTGCCTCCCGTGTTTTCTACACACCCCTGGCTTTCTTCTTTCATTCAGCTCGACTGGTTTTTCTGGTTGAAGGCTGAGCACTTTTTACAAGAGGAGCGGCCACGCGCAACACCTCGAGACCGCAGCTGACAGGAAAAAATCGCCTTTCCATCCTTACCTCATGAATATTAACCACGCAGCGTCACGTATTCAAAGCAGTCTACGTTTATTGGCTGAACGGGGAGGACGTTATCAAATAAACAAATTAAACTCCACCGAAGACTTGAATTATAAATATTAATTAGCTTTTGTGGGAAACGCACATGAATATTCATGAGATGAGCCGTCGCCCTGGTAGGATTCGTGGCTCCGCCTTCTTTCTCTAAAGTTTGAACTCATCTACAACCCGACAGGACACAAACAGACGTGTATTTGACTTTTGGATCTGCATTTACAAACATATGGAGTAATTTTACCTCTGTACAGGTAAACACGCATTGTTTGAATTGGTGTTGTTGTGTTTAATATGCTAATAATTCGAGTCTCCTCTAATATAGGTAAACAGTATACTAACTTCTGTTGTTTTGTTTATTATGTTAATGGTTATGGATGTTTCATAATACTTAAAGTCCAAAATAATAGGGTGTGTTTTCTTTTCAACGCTTGATATAATACAGGGTTCAAAGACAGACGGTTCATTGTAAAAGGCCCTTATTCATAAGTAACTTATTACCAACAGGTGCAGATTACTGCTCTTGTTTTATGATCTTTTCTGTTCTTAATATATGTAAAACTCCTATTAATAAGTCTGAAACGTCGTGTAATGCTTAACATCACTAGTTTTGTGTAACACCCAATATAAATATATAAAATACAAACAAAAAAAAAAGAACATTTCAGTGTAAATTGCATTAATTATTTAACTAAATACACAGTTTTAAGTAATGTTTCTAATTTAAAGGTTAATCAAAGGTCTGCCTGTTTGTTTTCTACATTTAGGGCTTGACAGAAATGTAAGTACTTAAATAACATTTCTCGTGACTGATGAACAAACAAAAGCAGATTATATTGCTCCTCTACAGTCATGCACTTGCCATAAGAATGTAATGTATTAAGCTCAGCATGCAAATCTGTGCATAATAATTTGCATATGTTCCTGGGGAGTGTAAACCGTGGCTTCTTACATCAAACATGACCATAACAGGACTTTTATTTTATTAAAATGATTTGAATGAATCTTAGTAAGCGGTGAAAGACAGTATGCGTTAATAATAAGCGTCTTTTATTTGAATTTCCACAATAGATATCTTTTTTTTTTTTTGTAAAGCTGCTTTGGTGGCAACTGTAGTAAACACTGATAAGGGATTGTCTGATAACCTTGTTTACCTTTGACTCTGCATTTGTATTACGCTATATTTTGAGTTTGACATATTTTGTGCATCTGATCTAATAATACTGGCTTGCTGCTGGACCGGTTTGTTCAATGAAACTCATTGCCAAGCTAAAAATATGAGAAGTGACCATTTTTCAACCTGCGGATAATGTTTCAGTGCTTTTGCTTGAAGGATTTTTTTTTTTTTTTGTCAGATGGAAGTCTTGTATTTTATACGCTTTGAGAAGGCATTTGGTCCTAAATGCTCAAAAGAAACCCGTCTATAATCACTTGTTTTGCACCATGATAAGAGAACATATGTAGGCGACCATTTCGAAATGTCAACACTTGGATTGCTTCAGTTCATTTCAGGGTACTTTATGTAAAACATATTCATAAATTAACAGGTTTTCTTATGATTTATTGGATTCTTTTCATTTATTTATGCTTTTGAAGTGCATTATTGGACCTTGATCCTTCATCCAACAACATTTAATCTTGATTAGTCTGAAAAAAGTGACTTTTATTGACATTTTTAATAGCTTGAAGTTATATATTATCTCGTATGGTGTTGTAATTTACAGTACAAAAAAATGGTAATAAACTATACCTACCGTTTCTGTTATTTTATAGACTTAATTCTTTATATATATATATATATATATATATATATATATATATATATATATATATATATATATATATATATATATATATATATATATATATATATATATATATATATATATATATATATATATATATATATATATATATATATATATATATATATATATATATATATATATATATATATATATATATATATATATATATATATATATATATATATATATATATATATATATATATATATATATATATATATATATATATATATATATATATATATATATATATATATATATATATATATATATATATATATATATATATATATATATATATATATATATATATATATATATATATATATATATATATATATATATATATATATATATATATATATATATATATATATATATATATATATATATATATATATATATATATATATATATATATATATATATATATATATATATATATATATATATATATATATATATATATATATATATATATATATA